CGTGTTCACTTAAATAATAGCGTGGGAATTTTAAAACGCTCGTTAATGCACTTGGCTACGTTCCATAGTTAAGATTGGTTACATTGGTTAAAAGTACATAAATGAATTTTGTAACTGATCTACAAATGATGAAACGATTTTTTTTTTAACAAATTATGTATGTTTAATATCATTAAAAAATAACATCCTGTTTATTATAAAAGTGAAAAATAACAAAAGGTTCATTAACTTCTAACTTATAGAAATTATGGTAAATGCAAACGAGTGGTTAAATAAAACAATTCCAGCGGATAAAAGAGAGCAAGCAACAACTCTTTACATCTATCGCAAATGCCAATGTAACATATCATTTTCGACAGAATCACCTCGATTCTCGACAAAACCGTCTGGATTCGGATTTGAAGAGACATCGCCTGGACTTGGATTTGGAACGACGTCCGTAACGACATCGCCTGGACTTAGATTTTTTGGGTTGCCCGTAACGACATCGTCTGGATTTGGATTTGGAGCGACGCCCGTAACGACGTCGTCTGTATTTGGATTTGGAGCGACTTCTGTAGCGACACCGTCTGGATTTGCGAAGCCCGTAACGACACCGTCTGTATTTGCGAAGTCCGTAACGACATCGTCTGAATTTGGATTTGGAGCGACTCCTGTAACGACATCGTCTGGATTTGGGTTTGGAGCGACTCCTGTAACGACATCGTCCGGATTTGGATTTGGTCTATTTGGATCTGCAAAAACATGTCCAGAACCGCCTGCACCTAGACCTAAATTATTCGAACCCGTCACGACACCGCCTGAAGAAACTGAAAGACCTACTATGGAAGATAGTAACAATTATTGTCAAAGCTGTAATGCTAATGATCAAGATAACTATTCTCGCGCTCCAGATTATTGTTTTTATAATGTCATTTTGGAAGGAGAATTAGATCTTAATGACTTTATTAATTTGCAGATATTATATATCGAAGGTACTGAGCAGGACAAGAAACAACAACAAAAATTAACTAGTTTAAAGATTGATAAATGTATTAACTTGATTCATGTTACAGTTAATAATACTACTCTTGGTTGTTTAAGTTTAGGCATTAAACCAAAATTACAATCTACAAATTTCTTAGGCAACAAACAACTTATTTTTCGTGACAATATATTTAAAAATCAAGTAGAAAAATTGTCCAGTTTGATTCTAAATACAACGAAAAACGTTAGTCTTAATGATTTAAGATTAGAAATTAAGAAAATCGAGGAGGAAAACTTAAAGTACCAGATAAATGTTACTAAAAGTAATTTGGATGAAAGCAATCA